GAACCCAATGAACCCGAGTCCTTCGGATGGTCTCCGACAAAGCATCGAAGATACATCTCAATGGTTCAATTCACCACCTCTATCTAGCCATCCGTTTGAAGGTGGTAAGTTGTCGAATGAGACAATTTGGTACCACTTAAAGTAAAAAGCTCCTTCCAAAATTTGCAAGTGAAAGCAAGCATCTCCGTCACTTATTATGGATCGAGGTAGACCATGAAGCGAGAAAAATATGCTAAAAAAATATGAGCAATGGTCACTCGTTGTATAAGGATGAGATACGAGTAAGAAATAAACATATTTGGAGAACCTCGTCAACCACCATAAAAAGGATAGTTTTCCTTTTGGATTTGGGAAGTTCGTCAATGGAGTCCTTTAAAATATCAGTCCATACATGTTCGGGAATAGGCAAGGGTCGAAGGAGACCAACTAGATGGAGGTGCTCGATCCTTTTTCTTTGACAAACCGACATGACTTTGAATATAATCTCTAATTTCAGCCTTCATACCATACCCAAAAAAATCAAATCGAAGTTGATGTAGTGTTTTTTCTAAGCCTTCATGAGTGGTATCATGAGATTCCGTAATCAACATAAGAATGAGAGGGGAGGTAGGTAACAAATAAATACAATTACGAAACAAAATCAGTCCATCGCGAACTCGCCCATTCCCCTGCTTCGTCCCTATTCCACTCGCTATCGTAGGGCCTAAAGTACCTCGGATTAAGAAATTTCGGATCCGATAGCATCAAATATGGCAAATTCAAGGCTAGAGATAGCATAAAGAGTACTTACTTTCTCATTTCATCGGGAGAGAGCATCAGCAGCTTTGTTAGTGATGCCGGACTTGTATTCCACTTGAAAATCAAATCCCAAGAGTTTGCTTACCCAATGTTGTTGTGGGAGGTAGTGAGTTTTTGCTTCAACAAAAACTTAAGATCGTAATGGTTGGTGTGGATTGTAACGCCCTTGCCCCAATCATATTTCTACTACCCAAGTATGGTATCTGGACGAAACGCGTTACGCCGACATACCTTAAACTCTAAGTAGTGTTCTTATGATATTCTTAGGACTTTAACGAGTACATTACGTATATAACTCCTTAAGATAAAATTTACATAACATAATTAAATGTATTAATAAAACATTACAAGCGATATTCAATTTCTCACGAACTTCACATCTCAAATTTACGGACAAAATAAAAACTAATATATGGTGCCTCACATGAGTCGGCTAGGAGGAGCCGACCGCATCCGTACCAACTTGTCCTTTTTCCGTCAAGACATAAAAAAATAACAACATGGTGAGCCGAAGCTCGCAAGCGGGGTGATGCACGTGATATGTAATGTTGGTTTGACTTCCCACCATACTCATAAATTTTAATCTCGAGTACCCCGGGTATTAGCCGATCTACTCTATTTATCATCCGAGTGGTCCGCAGATCACCTTCTCGCTACAACGGAATTATCCCTCGTTGTAACTACTATTAGCGGGAATCCATCGTCTAACAAAGTGCAAGCACACAGCTTGATTTCATCCAGATGATCCTCGGATCATCTTCTCGCTACAACGGAATTATCCCTCGTTGTAACTACTATTAGCGAAAATCCATCGTCTAATAGTGCAGGCACACATCCTAGAGTATTGGACTACTAATACCCATTTATTCTAGTTAGGTTATCAAACCTAGATGTATAAACCATTTCTTAATCAATTGACTTGTCTTAAACCACCTACTATGCACATGATGCACGTGATGACATATTTAATCACATTCAACTAAATTCGAGTACCAACTCTTCATTCTCATGCCATACTCATGGTCCAACCCACACTCGGAATTTATCCATTGCTCACATACCAATTATGATACCCACAACGGGAACACAATCTCCGCTCATTAGTATTGTTCATTAGTTTCATTAATATTTAAAAGAAGATCCAAGTCCATTTACTTTAATCCGAGCCCATTAACTTTATCCTAGGTCCATTGACTCTATTCAATTCTATTTTATTTAGTCCAAGCCCATTTATTTTATTCCAAATATATTAATTTTGTCCGAGTCTAATTAATTTTGTTTTTGGTTTTAGGGTTTATTACCGGGCAACTCCTAATTGAGTAAATAATTTTCTAATTTCAGAACATAATTAAATCTTACCCATTTTATTTTAGATACTAGACATATTTATTTATAACATATCCAAAAATTAGGTCTAAATACCAAGTACACAATTAATTACAAATTTTGAAACTTAGGGAGCAATCTGCCTAGTAGTAGTTTGTCTAGAGCTATCTATACTAAATCGGGTATAACTCTTTGTACACAAATCCAATGACCAAGAAATTTTAAAGGGAGTTAGTTGAAACATATATGAACAACGTTTATGCTTCAAGTTTCACCCATAAATTGACTTAAAATCCTTGAACATGCACCCTAAAATTCGGACAGAACTTACTCCTTTTCAACACTAATTTATTAGTTCATTCTAAGCTAACTTTAATCATGTTTTAGTTCACTTAAATTTAGTCTAAGTTCAATCCAACCCATCACCACATACTTGGACATTTTTCAAAAAATCATAACATCATAAATCATCACAAAAAGGCATCCATACATAGATTTATCCCAAGCATCAAGCATATAACCATTGAAAATTATTACAACCCATGAAATAAACACTAACAAAATAACTTAAAAAAAATAATTTAAGACATTAATCAGCCAAAAAGATGAAACCTACTTACCTCTTTTAGCTTTGATTAGAATTTCCTTATCTCTTTTCCTTTTCTTTTTCCCTTTCTCTTTTTCTTTCCTTTCCTTTCTCTCCTCACGTTTTTCTTCCTCTCTTTTCTTTCTTGCCTTTTCTCTCTCAATTTTTGGTACCTACGAGTTACTAAAGTTTTTCTCCCATTTTAACACTTTCTATATATATATATATATATATATATACTTACTTTCATTCAGCTACAAGTGTTAGAAATTAATGGGATAAGGTGTAAAGGTTATGGGTGAGTCATGAGGAAAGTCGGTCGCTTTGGAATCCATAATGGGTGAGTTGGCATTAAATTCATTTATTGCATTTACTTAGGTGTCTATATAAAATTTAGACTAATTAAAATCATTAATTAACTTAATTCAAGTAACTAAAACTACTTTCTTTCATAAAAATTCGAAAATTTCCATTTTTAAAAATTCAGAATTTCTTTTCCCCTCAAAATTCCAAGCAGTTGTTTCCTCCTAACCCATCTATACTAAAATGTGCATAACTCTTTCTATATGTATCAAATAATTATGAAATTTTATAGAGAGCTAGTAAACACATAGAAAAAAAAATTTTATTCTTTAAGGTTTGCTCAAAAATAAATCTAACAAGCATCAAATAAATCTCACAAGATTCGGGAAGATTCTTCTCCCAAAATTCCAGCAGAATGCATTTCGAAACAACCCTCACTATAATTGGTATAAATCTTAATGTATAAGTCTAAATATTATAAAATTTTATACAGATCTATTCAACACATAGATGAACAACTTTTATTCTTTAAGGTTGACCCTAAAATTACCCTAAAGTCCTCAAATAATTTACACAAAACTCGGCGTGAATATAGTCCTTAAAACACTCGATTTTGCATATTTGATTTCTTTAATAATTAAACTATTAATCTTAAGCAAAATAACTTTAATTTAACATAAATCACATATTTCAAGCATTAATTTCTCATGATGAAATGATAATTATACTTACTCTTAATATACATATATATAGAATTATTCTAATACACGTCGCGTTACGGATAAGGGTTTTTACGGGGGTTACATGGATTGTAAAAGAGCATCCCCATATATAAGGTCTCCAATGCTGGATTGCTTTAGCCAAATCAATTAACTCCCTCTCATAAGTTGGTAATTTAGCATGTCGATCTCCCGAACGCCCGTTAAAAAATACAATAAGATGTCCTTGTTGAAGAACGAGCACCAATTCCTCGTTCCGAAGCATCATATTCAACGACAAACATCAAGGAAAAATCGAGCAAACGAAGCACCATCGTCGTGGAAAGAGCCCCTTAAGTGCTACAAAGGCTGCGTCCGCTGATGATGATCAACCGAACCCATTCTTTTTTCAATAATTAGTCAAGGGGTTGCTATCACTTCGTAGTTACGGATAAATTTTCGATAATATCCGACCAAACCTAAAAAACCTCGTAACGCCTTAAGTGGTCTTAATAATTGGCCATTCCACCACTCGCTTGCACTTTGCTTTTTATCAATGGAAACTCTTGCACTAGTAACTACATCACCCAAGTAGGCTACTTAAGTAGCTCTAAAAGAACACTTGGATTTCTTAAGAAATAGTTTATGAGTTCGCAATAATTCAAAAATTAGCTCGATGTGGTTAATATGCTCTATCCAAGAAGGACTATAAATGAGAATGTTATCAAAAAACACCAATACAAAACGACGAAGGTATGCTTGAAATACGTCATTCACCAATGACTAAAATGTGGAGGGAGCATTTATTAGGCCGAAGGGCATTACCAAAAAGTCAAAGTGGCCATGGTGGGTGCGAATGTCGTTTTCTCCACGTCTTTTGGATCCATTTGGACTTGGTGATACCCGGAGTGTAAGTCAAGTTTAGTGAAATATTTAGCTCCATGTAACTCATCGAGTAGCTCATCCATCATTGGTATGAGGAACTTGTCCTTCACCATCTTGGCATTCAACTCCCGATAATCGATGTAAAATCACCATGACCATCATGCTTGCGGACAAGAAAACAGGTAAGAAAAATGAAGATTGGCTTGGTCTTATGATTCTTTGGTGTAACATCTATTCACATTTCCTCTCAATTTCATCTTTCTACGATACGGGATATCGATACGATCAAACTACCACTTGCTCGGTATCGAGAAGTAAAGGAATTTTATGGTCTTGTGAGCGACGAGGCTGAAGTCCTTCGGGTTCCTAAAATATTTCTTGGTAATCCAAGAGAAGCTTGTCCATTAATCCTTACGGTTGTTGAATTCCTTGCAAAGAATGGACATTTGGTTTCGAAGATAATTTTTCATCATACCACTCGCACTTGTCGCCCTTCGAGCCAAAATGACATAGTAAGTATGGAAAAATCCCACAAAATTGGCCCCAAGTTTTCCAGCCACTCGATGCCTAATACAATGTCAAAACCATCCAAAGCAATAATATAAAGGTCAATAGTAAAAGTGGCATATTGAACCCGAATTTTCACCTTTTCACAAACTCCGGGGCTAGGTACCTTTTCACCATTTTCCACCAAAACTTATAGCCTACATACCGTTGGTCGGGCAAGTTAAGTCGTTGGGTAGCTTCTTTACTCGACAAAGTTATGGGTGCCGCCAAAGTCTATAAGCATCAAAGTTGATTGCCCTTAAACTAGTGCCTTTAGTTGCATTGTTTGGGCATTCCTCATTCCCGTAATGGTATGTAAAGATATTTGCATGTCTCCTTGTCCTTGGAACTCATCCTCCTCCTCCACTTCCTCCACTTCAAGCCAAAAAAGTCTTTTGCATTTGTGATCAAAAGTATAGGGCTCATCACAATTATAACATATCCCTTTGGCTTTTCTCTCTGCCATTTCTCGCCTTATTTAATTTTTTGATGTAAGTGGACCGTCCACATCAACTCCTCGTCTTTGTCATCTTTATTGTCACTAAATTCGATCCCGAAGAGCATGTATACTCGCTTTCGTATGTCCATGCTCTCGTTCGCTTGCATCTTCTTTTAAAAGGCCCTTGCTAAGCTCATGGTAGTAACCAAATCAGGTGGGCTCGCATCTTAAGATCTACTCTCAAGGAGTCTTTAAGTCCAAGCAGTGAAAATATCCACTTGCTAGTTTGGTTGGACTATGGTTACTCTTGCTAATAGAGCTCGAAAGTTAGATAAATATTCTTTCGAGGAACCACTTTGCTTAAGGTTAATCAGTTCTCCTAAAGTATTGTTTCGTAATGGATGACCAAAACATAAATAACGAGTAACGAGAAAGATCATACCATGTTAAAGCTAGCTTCTCTTATTCTAGTTTATAAAACCATAATTATGCATCTCCCGTCAAGTGAAAGGTCGCCAATCCCACCTTCTTCGCCTCTAATGTGCGTTGGTTATGAAAAAATTACTCATAACGATTGAGCCACCCCAAAGGATCGTCCGAACCATTATATGTGGGGAAGTCCAATTTGGCGTAGCGTGGCACCATTGTTTGTTTAGAATGCCCTTCGGATCCGAAGTCATAGTGATTGTGCCCTTCCGGACGCCTATCGCCTACACCTTGTTCCCGGCCTTTACTACTACTTTTGGATTTTTCACCATTAGTTTATTCGTTGTCGAAACTCCTTGTAGTCGTTGTAGTCTCCTTTTTGGTCTCGTCTATGCGTTGCTCTTTTTGATCCATTCACCATAAAACTTCAGCAATCTACTCCGTAAGTGATAGATGCGAGTTGGATGATTCGACCATGAAACCGGACTCGATACCAAATTTTTATGAGCCCGCGTACGGGATCTAGCACGGGTCGGTGATTGATTTCTAGGGCACTTGTTCCCCCGGGTTTTCCCTTGCGTCTTGCACCTATAAAATGAAAAGAGTGGAGCTCATTCAAGAAAGAGAGAGCTACCTTAATCTCAAAAGAAATTACTTCGACTTTCCCTTATTCCATTACAATCAATCCTTTAAATAGTATAGCCATAGCAATTGTCAATAGAAAGTTTATGCTAATTTAGGAAACATAATATGAATTATTCTAGTCAACTAAATAGGAAGGAAATAATCTTGTTGTCAATTAATCCCAAGATAAGCAGTCGAGAATCTTCATTTTTCCTCGATCATCGTAATTTGGTCCCCATTCTTTTGTGCTTTATTCTTCCGTGGTTTGTTATGTCACTTTTTTCACCTATATTGTTGTCCCACAAATGAATCCGTAACAATCTCCTAGTTTATTTACTTTGATTAAATCTCCTCTAATTTTTCTCCTAATCTATTAGAAATAAATTTCCTTTTAATTAGCAATCCCTTGATTCAATTCGTCACTAATTTCTCTTTCTCAACACTCTCCCTCAAGCTAGCTTGTAAATGTCTTCCATAGCTAGCTTGCTTATTAAAAAATCAAATTGTTTCTTTCGCAGTTCCTTAGTGAGTATATCAGTATGTCCGTTTGGTGGTTGGTATGTAAGGAACACGGATTAGGCCACTTTCAAGTTTCTCTTTGATAAAATGTCTATCCACTTCGATGTTTTGTCATGTTGAACAAGGTTGTGTGCAATTAACATGGTAGCTTTGTTGTCACAATAGACTTTCATAGCAAGTGACACAAGAATCTTCGGATATTTTAATAACCTCTTGATCTATGTTACTTAACAAATCCCATATATGAGAGACCTAAACTCAATTTCAAGCACTACTTCAAGCTACTACATTTTGTTTCTTACTCCCTAGGTAACTAGATTCCTCCAAAAAAGTACGAGTATCCCGATTTTGGTCTTTTATAAAAAATGCTACATGTCCACTTAGCATCCGTATAGATTTCAACCTATACATTATTTTTTAAACATCAAGCCTCTCCCAAGTGTCTTTTATAGATGCTTTAGTATTGTATAGGTAGCTTCAAAGTGCTATTGACCTAACGAGTGCATAAATTGATTTATCATGCTTACAACAAAGGCTATGTCGGGATGAGCGTGTGATAGATATATCATTCTTCCCACCAATCGCTAATTTTTCCCTATCAATCACATCTTCATCCTTAGCAGGACTAAGTTTTAGGTTAGCCTCAATTGGAGTTTTGGCTACCTTGCATCCCAATAGCTCAATTTCTTCATGTAAATCAAGGATATACTTCCTCTAATTCATAAATATTTCTTCTTTTGATCTTGAAAATTCCATTCCAAGAAAATATTTCTTCCAAGTCTTTAATTTCAAACTCTTCGTTGGCTTCCTTTTCAATCTTAGAAGTTTTTCATAGTCATCACCTGTTAAGATTATATCATCCACATAGATAATTAGAATTATAATTTTTTCCCATCTCAAAATGCTTATAAAATAGAATATGATCTCGCTTGACTTTGGTGAAAGCCATAGCTTTTTACTTGTCTTCCCAATCCTTCCAAACCATGCTCGTAGAGATTGTTTTAGGCCATATAAAGGCTTCTTAAGCCTAGACACTCTATTTTGGCCAACAATTTTTTCAAAACCCGGTGGTGGACACATAAACACTTCTTCTTCCAAGTCACCATTCAAAAATGCATTCTTCACATCTAGTTGATGTAAGGTCCAATTGAAATTAACTACAAGAGAGTAAAACTCGAATAGAGTTAATTTTAGCTACCAAGAAAAAGTCTCTTGGTAATCAATATAATATGTTTGTGTAAACCCTTTAGCAACAAGTCTTGCTTTGTAGCTTTTTACACTTTCATCAGCTTTTATACTTCACCATAAACACCCATTCATAACCATTTGTTCTTTGGTCTTTGGGTAACCCTACAACTTCCCGTGTCCCATTTTTCACTAGAGCATGCATATCCTCCATTATTTTTCGATTTCCATCTTGGATCATTAAGTAGTTCTTGAATGTTTCTCATAACAAATAGATTAGAGATTTTTTATGTAAATGCCATGTGACTCTAAGATACTTTATCATATAAGAGATATTTTGTAATAGGATGGCTAGTATAAGATCGGGTAGCTTTTCTAAGTGCGATGGGAATGTCAAGATCATAGCAAGTATCAAGAATAGGAATAGTATTGGATAGTAGAGGTTTTAGAGTACCTTGCATGTCTATTGGCTCATCATTTGGGATGTCCGATTGATTTTAGTGCCTTAGGAACAGTAAGCTCTCTACCATTTTAATGATTCTTTCTTCTTGTCAAAACTCTAAACTCAAGTTCTTGTCTTTTGGGATCATTTAGTAGTATTTCTCCTCTTGTCGAATTTTCAACATTTTTTTGGCTCTATAATATTAGAAACAACTAGCTTTTGGTGATTTTCAAGGGAATCTACAATTTTAAGCAAGGAAGTGGGATTAACTTCCTAGAAATTTTCTTCACTTTGTTTCTCCTCTTAAAGAAAATTTTCCTAAAAAAAAAAGGTTGATGTTCAAGGAAGGAGACATCCATAGTGATAGATTTTTCGACTCGTTAGGATTAAAACAATTGTACCTTGTTTGTTTGGGGCATAGTATGCATCCTATTTATCAAATAGGATGCTTTTAAAATAGCTTCCCCTCGGACAAATTTGAGAAGATTTTTATAAAACATAATGGAACAAGACACTTCTAGCAAATTTTTATTTTTCCTTTTAGCAATCCTCGTTTTATTGAGTATTGATACAAGTTGATTGATGTTGAATACACATTTTTTTTGAAAAAAATACCAAGAATCTCAATAAAATATTCAACGCCATTATCGATGTGGAGAATGTCGATTTTTTTTTTTTTTGAAATTGGTTTTCTATCATTTTATAAAAATTTTTAAATAAGGTTTCAACTTTTGATTTTTCACTCATCATGTAAACCCAACACAAATGAGTATGATTATCAATAAATGTCATAAACAAATTTTTTTTCCGAAATCGTGCTCATCCATGAAGGACCCCAAACATCACTATGGATAAGATAAAATAGTTTTGAAGGTCTATAAGGTTATGAGGGACAAAAGGATTTATGACTTTTTGACAAAATACAACTTTCATAATGAAATGTTGAACAATCCAATGCTCGAAATAACATAGGAAAAAGTCTTTTCAAATACAAAAAACTAGGATGTCCTAACTTATAGTGCTAAAGCATAATAATGGAGATCATCTATCATTCTAGCATCGCCTATCATCGTCCTCGAACTCGATCCCGAAACATACAATGAGAGTAAAAAAAAAGACCCAATAGTTAGAATCTTTAGACAATTTGCTAATAGATAGGACATTACAAGTAAGTTTAGGTACATGGAGAATATATTTAAGAGATAATTTACTACATAAGGTTACTAAACCTTTACCAAGTAATAGGAGAATGTGATCCATCAGTTATACGGACTTTTTCATAACCAGAACAAGGTCTATAAGTATGAAACAAATTTGAAAGACTTATCATATGATCAGAAGCTCTTGAATCAATGATCCAAGGAGTAGAAAAAGAATGACATACTAGGGTATACGTATTAGTACTACCTGAATTTTTTCAAAGAAGCATTAGGTGTACCCAACAATTCAGAATCAGATTTCAGTAGCTTTAAGATGTGATCCAGTTGCTCTTTACTGAAAAGGGCAGTTTTGGGTTTGTAAACAGAGGCTGGCCGACCCTTGTTCTCATTTTTCCCTTTTCAATTTGTTGGTTTTCCATGCAACTTCCAGTAGGTTTCACGTGTGTGCTTTGCTTATTGCAATAGTCACACCAAACATGGGATTTGTCCTCTAATTTCCCCCGAACCATTCTGCCAGCACAAGCCTTTACAGCAAGGGCATAATTCTCTACTGTTTTGTCAATTTTTTTCTTCCTAATATCACAAGTCTGTAACTTTCTTCCCTTCGAACTTCAGAAAACACTTCTCCAATGGAGGAAAGTGGCTGTCTAATAATAATTGTGCCCCTAACTTGATGGATTTCTCTAAGTTTCAGTGACAACTCAAATACTTAAGACTGATTGCCTAAGTCTGAATACATGAGATTAATATTTTCCAACAGCTCCTTGGTAGTGTGGTAACACATATAATTAGA